ACCCTCACCACCCTCCAGGCCTTCTGCAAAGCCCTTAAAACCTGGCTGTTCCGACAGGCCTGGGGCTAAAGAGCTGTTGCCCCCCGTCTCGAATGGTATGACTGTCGTGTGTTTTAAATTATGTATTGTTGCGTGTCGTTTTAATTTTTGTCTGCATCCCTCTCCCTTGGTTGAGTTGTGAGCCGCCCTGAGTCCCCTTCGGGGGAAAAGGGCAGCATATAAATAAAATAAATATTCAAACATTCAAACATAAGGCCAAGCCAATGCTACCGATCGTACAATGCACCGCCCCTGGGCCTCCTGGGGGAGCGAACCCTCTGTTTCAAGCCAGAACCCTTCGACCGACATCATTATGGGGACCAGGAGAGGAGACCTACCTCAGAGGAAGTGTCCAACTTCAAAGGGGGCTGCTCGGCCACACAGCGTAGGTGAGCCCGTACTTCCTCTTCATCGCTCTCGTCGTAGGAATCATCCAGATCGTAATAATATCCTGCGTACCCCAAGCAGAGCAGGTGAGAATTTTTGAGGGCCACCAAAAACCTCATCTTCCCCTTTGCCCAGGTGCCCCCTTATCCCTCTAGCAACCCAAGCTACGCTGTCCCACCACGATGGGTCTTCTCAAGGAAGAGCCGGATTAATTCTCGCAGCTGTTCTGGGTCCCCCGAAGGACTGTGGCACCAAGCGGCAGCTGGACTTCTCAAGCAAGACATGCAGTGGTGAAATTCAATTTTTTTCTACTACCAGTTCTGTGGGCGTGGTGTTGCTTAGTGGGCGTGGCTTGGTGGGCGTGGCAGGAGAAGCATACTGCAAAATCCCCATTCCCACCCTACTCTGGGGCCAGCCAGAGGTGGCATTTGCCGGTTCTCCGAACTATTCAAAATTTCTGCTGCCAGTTCTCCAGAACCTGTCAGAACCTGCTGGATTTCAACCTGCTGGAGACATGGCTCTACATAGTGACAGCTACCCATCTGCCAAGACGGGCATGGAGCCTGAGCCAGGGCTATTTTGCCTGGGGGGGGTATGTGTGGGGGAAAAACATTCGGCTCCTGAAAGATCAAATGATGCAAGCCAGCATCCGGTTTAAGGAAGGCCAGGAAAAGCTGGGAGGAAGGCAGGAGGCTGCCAGCGGCTGGCCACCCCCAGTGCTTATAAACAGGAGAGGGCAGCTGGACTTGTCCCCACAGTCTGGTTCTGCTGCCAGATGTCACTCTCTCTCTTCCTGAGCCAGAAGGGACCATCAGGCAGACAACATACAGGGGGTTATTACAGGCCAGGCCTGAGGACTTTCATGGAGCTGGATGAAGGCCAGGAGGAGCCACCTGGGGGCATTGAAAAGCCAGAGCCATAACCCTTCGGCACAGGAGGAGCTCATACCCTCCCCAAGGCATAGAGGTCTACCAGGGTGCTAGCTGACACATTCCTGCAAAGGGACCAACCGGAAGGACGCTGGGGACGGAGGAGGAAGGGGACCCCTCTTCCCCGATAGAGAAGGCTGCGCTGCCTCGTGATGGAAGCCGCGCGTCCCCCCCCCTCCCTTCCTACTTAAATGTTTTGTTTTCCTCCCTTTTGCAAATCCCACCATGGCTGTACGTTCTCGATGAATATTTAAAGCGGCTTTATTGGTCTCAGTTCATCATTTATTAATTGGGCCTGTCTCAGAGAGACAATTTGCAAAGCCGCTTGGAACAGGCCTTCAAAGGAGCTGCGGGGGGCACCTGCACGACTCCCTGGTAAGACCACGGGGCCCTTTTCTTTGAAAAAGCGGGGAGGGGGGAAGAGGGAGGGGCAGGGGCTAAGCAGAAACAAGGCAGGGGTCCTTTTATTTGGGACTCTTCGCTTGGACCGAGAGACACGAGTCTCGGATTGGAGACTGGGCCTTGTAATGCCCCCACACACACACTTTTAATTCTTTTTATTCCACCTTCATTGGAAAAATGCTTCTCTCTCTCTCCCTCTCCACAAACTCCACTCTCTCCTAACCCTGATGATGTTCCCTAATTGGGCCATGAAACAGTCCTCCTCCTCTCTCCTCCTCCTCTTTGCAAACCTCATTCCCTTCTAGCACTGATGATGTCCCCTAGTTGGGTCACGAAACGTCTGCAAGAAAACTACCAACCTCAGGGGGCACCAAAACCCCCACCGCTCCTCCTTCTCCTCCTCTTCCCCCTCCTCTTCGTTCTCCTCCTCTCCCCCCTCCATTTCCCTTCTCCTCCACTCTGCAAACCCCACTCCCTTCTAGCACTGATGATGTCCCCTAGTGGGGTCACGAAATGTCCGTAGGAAAGCCACTAAGCTCAGGGAGCATCAAGAACCCTACAGTCCTCCTCCTCTTCTCTGCAAATCTCATTCCTTTCTAGCACTGATGATGTTCGCTAGTTGGGTTATGAAACGTCCTCAAGAAAACCACCGAACTCAAGAGCGCACCCAGGAGCCCGCAGTTCGACACTGAGCTTCAGAGATTCCCGTCTACCAGTTCTATCAATTCTCATCTGAAGCAGGAAGCCCCCCGAGGAAGGTCGACGGTCACCCACCTTTCTCCTGCGCTTCCCTCCTCTTCCTCTCCTCTAGGTCCAGCTTGCTGACCAACTTGCGTTGCTGGAGTAAGAATTCGTCGTAAACATACATGGGATCGTGGCCTCTGGGTAGGAGATGCCTGTACAAGGAGCCGGTCGGGTTCTTCAACGCCTCGACAAAGGGGAGGCTTTGTGGGTGGGGGGTTCTCTGCTGCAGGGGCTTCTCCCATTCGCTTAGTAAGGAGGGTCCGTGAGGAAACCCACCCGGCTCGGATCCACCCGTCTCCCGGCCCGGCTGGTATTTGTCCAAAGGTTCCTTTTTCCGGGCACCGTCCTCCACTTTCTCGGGACAGAAGACTCGCTCCACTTTGACCAAAGGGATGGCCTGCCGGCTGGACTCGTAGGGGCTGGCGTGGCTGGGGAGCGGGTGGCTCTCCTGTAGCCTCCGAGCGTCCGTGGGGCCGTCGATCAAGGAGACCGGGTTCCAGAGAGACGTGGGCACCGGATGGGGCTGAGGCTTAGGGGATATGAGCGGAGGGGGCCCTCCGAAATGCTGGGGTTGCTCTCGGACCCCCAGTTCGGGGCGGCCTGGACCCAGTCTGGAGAAAGAGGAAAGCAAACCAGCGTTAATGGAAACAAGGCTCCATGCAGGTAGTCCTGGACTCACGGCCAGAATTTTCAAGATTTAGAGATTAACAGAGTTGGAAGGGGCCTTGGAGGTCATCTAGCCCAACCGCTCTGCCCAAGCAGGAGACCCTACACCCTTTCTGACAGATGCCAGGCATGTCTCCAGGGATGAAGCTCCCACAACCTCTGAAGGCAACTTCTGTTCCATGGGTTGATGGTTCTCACTGTCAGAAAATTTGTCCTTAGTTCTAAGTCGCTTCTCTCCTTGATTAGTTTCCACCCATTGCTTCATGAAGCAATTTCGTGTTGTTGCTTCCAAGCCAAATCAGATCATCTCAGTCTCTTTTTCTCAATCAGTGATAGGGAAAAAGAGCCGGTTGCTCTTTTCCATGCTCTCCTTTTAGCTTCTGTTTTTAAGACTAATTGGCCGCAAGTTTTTATTTAGGGAATTTCGATTTGCACTGCTTGTTGTTGTTGTTGTTTTCTGGGAATTATCCTGTGATGCATAACACAAAAGCCTTCTGCAAATAAAACAGTCTTTAATAGAAAACCTTTTCTGATTTTGTGCCTGTCGTTATGCAACACCGCACAAGACCCAAAACTCAAGTTTCTGTCCTGGATCACAATTCAGTGCAGTTGGAGCCGGAACTCTTCCCTATAATACTGTCCAGTAGAGGGCACCTTGGCCAGAGGAGGTGTCCCATTCATGCCTCTGGGAATCAGAGTGAGCGACATCTAGTGGCGTTGACATTAAATGCGGCAGAAACCAGATTTTCCTGGCCAAACAGTGTTGTGCTTAAATTCTCAGCTGCGCCCAAATCATCCTGCCAATTCCCCCCCACGAAACGCACACAGCAATCATCTGAGAACCACCTAGCGAGCTTCTCTGCTGTTCCCCATTGTGGAAAGTCTCCCTTTAAAGCAGTGTTTCTCAACCTTGGCCACTTGAAGATGTCCGGACTTCAACTCCCAGGATTCCTCAGTCAGCATTGGCGTCTGGGGAATTCTGGAAGCTGAAGTCCACACATCTTAAAGCAGTGTTTCTCAACCTTGGCCACTTGAAGATGTCCGGACTTCAACTCCCAGAATTCCCCAGCCAGCATTCGCTGGCTGGGGAATTCTGGGAG